CGGTCCAAGAGTGAAGATATATAAAACATACATACAAATAGACGCATAAATAAAAAAAGGTATGTAACTGTTGCTGGATCGGTGTCCTCTTTCAGGGAGACGAACTTCAAGCTAGTTTCTAATTTACTATTTTGCTTACATAGTTTGTTTTTATCCATATAGATTTTGAATTTGGTCCCTTTATTATTTTTTTGTGCAAGTAGTTATTTTGTGGCTTTTATTTCTCACTTTGGTATACACATTTTAGTTTCATTCTTATTTTTTTTTTATCAGTGAATTGACATATGTATCACTCTTCTTAGATAACTTTCTCATGCTGCTTTTTTTTTAAATTCTTTTGTTTGCATTTAAGAATGCCGTGGCCCTATATATTTTCTATGTGTGGTTTATTTGTATGTTGTATTGAGACAGGGGAAAATTTCTATTGGGTTTTTGTTGTTGTTGTTTTTTTTTGTTTAAATTGCGAAATTGTGTCAAAATCACTCCTAATGGAAACAACTTTGGTACTCATATTTTGCTTTTTTTTGTGAAAATGTTAATAAAATTCGCAAGTTTAATACTTCAGTAGCTGAAAAAAAATCTATAGACTATTGAGAGAACTTAGTTTATCCAGTTTGCATCTAGACAGAGATTATTGATTTGGGCTGAAAGGGAAATATTTTGAGGCATATTTATGGATGAACCTCCTGACAGCTTTCAAGGTCGTATGTACAACTGTGATTTATCCCAGACATCTAGGCTGTCAATCAGAGCTGTCTGCTGTCATCTTTACAGGAAAACTGTAACGGCCAATAAATACTTTATGAAGCGTAAGCTGGAGTGTGAAATAAAAAATAGGATCTAGATAATCTGAACTTTATCATTTTATAAAATTACATAAGGTTCCAAAATGGGTAATAATTTCTAGTTTTTGGTAATTTGTTTGCTGATTATGTTAATTGTGAAGTTCTATTTTTATAAGTGTAATTTTTTAGTTTGGTCATAAAATCAGGTAAAACTCCCATGATCAAACATAAATAAATATATAAACTGGAATTTGTTTACACACAGAGGGAAAATTAAAACGAATCATCAAGTGCTTTAAAAAGCCACTTCAGAGAAGTGAAATGATTTTGCTTAATAGATATAATTAGGGAGTTAAAGGTCCATTATGGAAGTGAAAACAGTTTATCCATCCAAAATGCTTGTCAGATATGTTTATCATAACTTTCAGCAGCTTTCAACAGAAAAAGTGTTTGCGTATTGATTCAGCAATGGCAGTTCAGCAAATTAATACTGAAATTAACATCACAATTTTTCAGCCTTCATCTTCACTAAGAACATTATAATTGCTATTTTTACATTGTATGTATGTTCATTATAGCGTGCTAAGTATCTTCAGATGACTGTTGTTACTCTCAGTGTGCCACAGTCTTCTGGGAAACTAAATAATAGAGGATAGTGATGTTTTGTTATGTTAGTTTGCTGTGTTTAATTTTTTACAGAGTACTTTATTACTTTTCATGGTGGTTGATCATTTTACACTCCATCCTTTGATTCATTGAGGGTACCTTGTCTCTATTTTCTCTCATTATTGGACCCGTTTTCATTTATTGTCAATCCCTATGAGCTTGTGAGTTAGTGAAATTTAAAGTTTACTTTAGGTAAACTGTAGGTTTTTTTTCTCAAACTTAATTTTTGCCTATTTGTGTTTCGGCGTATCTGGGCCTTTTTGGGGTATAAAATATGCACTGCTGCATTTCCCCTGATAAGGCTAAGAGTGACAGTCTGCGCTTGCTGATATATCAGTTCTGATTGATGGGTGTTTTTTCTGGGATTGGTTATTTATGCTGTCTGTTGGTAGCAAAGAGAACGTCCTCCAGAGGATGTAAGGAAACAGTCGTGGTAAAGAGTAGAAGTCTTTAAATGTGGTGGGTGGTGGGAGGATTTTACACTGTTGGGAGCACAGAGCCAAGCAACAAACAAAACACAGTTCAGCAGAGCACATCTTTCCTAGCAGTTGGCCCTCTTTAACCTTTAAACTCTTGTCAGTCTTTTTGAGTTTTATACCTTTAAATGTCATGCATTCGGTTTGGTGATAAAGCAACTCAACACTAGTGAACCCTGTTGTGGATGCAACAGTCTCCCTGTTTATGCATTACCTGAATATCCTTAGAAATTTTATTGAATGGTGGTAGCCTTCGGTGGTAGTGGTGGTAGTGGTAACGAAATCCAAGGCAATATGAAAGCTCGGATGTTAAGGGATAGGCAATGGTTGAAGAGGACTACTGGGAGGCTGGGGACTGATGTGACATGAAACTCACACTTCTCAGCTTTGACAAAAAGTTCCTTTTCTAGAATACCATGGAGAACTTGGCACTGATGGATCTTATGTTCGGATAAGGTCCTGGAGAAAATAAGAATATCATCAAGCTATACAAATACAAACTGATTTTTAAAATCTCTAAGGGCATCATTCACAAGTGATTTGAGAACTGCAAGTGCTTTAGTGAAACCGAAAGTTATTATGAGATATTCAAAATGACCTATGGGATTCTTGAATGCAGTCTTCCATTCGTCTCATTCTCTGATTCTGACCCAGTGGTAGGCATTTTGGAGATTCAACTTGGTGAAGGAGGGGATATTTATTTTTCACAGTGATCTGGTTAAGGCTGTAATCAATGCAAGGTCTTAGTGATCCATCCTTTTTCCCAACAAAGAAAAAAACCTGGTATAACAGGTGAGGTAGAGGTACGGATAATTCTAGCAGTTAGCGACTCATTTATGTACTTCTCCTTACTCTCCCTGTCAGGCTTTGCTTATACCAACTACTGTAGGGCAGAGGAGGTCCAGGAAGTTGCTCAATAGAACAGTCATAGGACAGTGAGGCAGGAGAGGGTGAGTCTCAGACTTACTGAGAACAAGATGAATCTGATGATACTCAGGTGGAACCAGGGAGAGGTCTACCACAGTTTCCTGTTCTTGAGATTTTAAGGCTGAAGACACAGCCGACTGAAGACAGTTTGACAGATAGTGGTTATTACGTAACTGAGCTCTATTGTCTTTCCAGTTCAGGTGAGGATTATGAAGTGTGAGCCAAGAGTACCCTAAAACAATGGGAGATTGGTGTGAAGAAAACAGGAAAAAAATTATTTATTTTGTTCGGTCTGTGATTACATGCAGAGGACTTCCATCTAGAGCTTAGTCATGAAGTGGTTCGGGTAGACATACAACAGGAAGAAGTAACTGTTTAGCTAAACTGTTATCTATAAAGCTTTTTTTCACAGCCACAATTAATTAAAGCAAAAGAACTCACCCCTAAATCAGCCTGCGTCAGCCCACTGCAGGGCTGGATCAATCAAAAAGCTGAGCACAAATTAGATTTAGTCCTCATCAAACAAAAAAGACCTGGTAGACTGACTGAAATTTAGTGAACTTTGTAACAGGAATCCATGACACGATCCACTTTCACTCGGTTGATGACAACTGATGACTGATACATCTACTTAATTGAGAGATGAAGGAGAGCTCACTTGGATGTGTAGAATTTGATTCAGCAGGCTTTGCAGACTGTAACCCAGAGGTCCAGGGGAATGACAGTGGAATCTGAAAGCATTGGTAGTTGCTTTCTACCTGGTAGACATTGTGCTGGAGAGCAGGCAGGCAGGAGAAGAAGACTGAGAACTGCTGCTCAGAGATAAGACCTTTCCAATGAAGATTGGAGACGAACTGAGGTTCATTGGTTGTATGGAACAATAACAATGTTCCCATGAGAGAGATTCATGAGAAGACACATTTCAGCAAGAAAAATATTCCTGTTTAGATGTTTGCCTGGTATACCAGCAGAGGTAATCATCTGGTGAATAGAGATGATCTTTCGCCTTCTTGTATACACGCTAATCATCCTGACTGAGAAATGTTCTCAGGTGTGCAGCAACACAAGTTGGCCCAGCCATGAGCAAAGATCCTCTCTGTAACAGGAAGCTCACTCACACCTGAAAAACAGCAAAACCCCAAAGACCCTAACAAAATGTTTGCATTTTACTGTAACTGAACTGAAATAAACTGCAAATATCAAACAATCTTTGATATATTGTGTTGCAAGGTTCAGTTTAGCACAACACAGACTTTGAGTAGGCTGCAGATGGAAGTATTGCACGTTGATCCCCAGACAATACAACAACTACTACTGTACCACAGTATGTCAGTCTGATGTGCTGATGAGTCAGCAAGCCACACTCGGTCTTCTGCTCAACGACACTAGCTAGAAGTAACAGGCTGCTAGTCAGTCATGGAACAAAACATAGGGATTATCCATCATAGGAAGGATCGTTATCGATTACTGTGTACAACAGGGTTGGATTTTATAGAGAAACAATTACTGAGAGGCAGTATTCAATAGTTATTGTTCGTGTGAGAGATGGACTATTCAGAGAAAGTTGCTTTATCCAACAAACAAGCCTGATTTTGGAAGAAAGCCAAGTGCTGTTACATATGGTTGAGTTTTAAAAAAAATCTGTAACTTTTTTTAATTTATTTTAGAACATTGTATAGGTGTCATAATACGGATATGCTGACATGTTACATATAATGAATCTGTTAGTGGTCTGTCTTTCAACCTAAACTGGACTTTTATCCACATATAATGAAAAGTACATAAGGAACACATTATCTTAGTCTTACAGTGTATCTTGAAATGTTGAACAGGTTACATTTTATTGTAAACTAACTGTAATGTATCTCTAAATATTAATTCAATTCAGTATTAGTTTTGTTTAATTGGAGAGATACAGTGAAGTAAATGTAATCTATACCCATCCTGGTGGAAATAAAAAAAAAAACAATTATCACAATGATTTTATCCCATTCAAGAATGTGTGGAAAAATATTTGTTGTTTTTCATTCTGAAATGAATATGTACTCCTTGTATGCAAATGATACAATAGGTAAATTACTGATATCTTCCCTGTTTTCCCTCCTCTCTCCCTCCCCTCTTTATTGATTTGTTCACTTTCCTCCAGGGCCGCAGGAAATCATGATGTTTAATGGAGGCCCCCTTCGGAGGTCATTGGAGTCTTTGCAATCATAGACCTGGCATCAAGGAAGCGATTCTCATAATGGCAACAAGCTACCTTCAGCCTATGCTTCTGAAGCCCTCCTGTGGAGGGTGTAATAACTGAGGGAGGGATAGTGAGTCTGAGAAAAGCTTCCACCTGCAGATGAAAATCATTCAAAACATGTAGTGTTCCTTTCTCCAAAGAGGGGGGAGGGTGTAAACTGGATTTTGATTGCTTTTTACTTTCTTCTGTTCATGTAATCACTGAACAGATTTGTGGTTGATTGTTGAGTGTATGTGGGTGTTGGCAGAGAGTGCAGGGTGAGGAGAAAGGAAAGTGAAAGAGTGGAGAAAAAAAAAGAGAGAAAGAACAGTAGAAGAAAGGAAGAGATGGTCCTCTACACCACCCCATACTCCAGTGCCTGTCTGCACTTCCTGGATGGCATGTCGTGGAGCCTGGTGTTTCCCTCCTACTGGCTCCTGGATCGACTCCTGGCCTCTTGTGTGGCCACCTCACTGGAGAAGCGCCAGCGCTCCCAAGACCCCTGCTCCTTCCTCACCCTGTGTGTCCTGATTGCTGCCCCCCTTTATCTGCTACTCTTCCTCGCATCTCTGCCTTTTGCCCTCCTGGGTTTCATCATTTGGGCTCCCCTACAGGCTGTTCGCCAGCCTTACCTGTACACATATCGAAGGTGAGTGTTGAGTGAGCTACCTTTTTAATACTTATTCTAAGGGTGTGTACTATTCTTATCTTCATTAGGTTTAGAGCACACAATTTCTCAATGTAAGGACACCAGGAACTCACCAGTTACTACAAAGATTTTTAAGTCAATTTCATCTCAAGTCATTTTTCTAAAGACAATTCAGTCAGATCATCCTGTCAGATATGTAAAGTTTTCTATCTAAGGAAAACCACAGGATTGCATTTTGTCACTGATTATCAGACACACAAAAAGAACATAGGAGCACTGATTCATAAATACGTTCTATGTTAGAAGGGGTTATAGTAAGCTAGTTCCACAGATGCCTATGTCTAGGAAAGAAACAGGACTAAACACAAAAAAACAACTCTATTATCTAAGATTGAAGGTGTTAATGACAGCAGCACAGCCGATATTTCTCTCCAGTATGGTGTCAAAACCAATCAGGAAGAGACCAGAAGAAAACACTGTGACAAAAAAAGCAAAGAGAACATAAAGTTAGGGTTCAAACTAAAAAACAACAGAATGGGATATGGATATTGAATAAAGCAGAATGATGAAAAGTGGTCCCTATGTCCTCTAGCAGCCTAAGCCTAAAGCAACATAACTATAGAGATAGCTCAGTATAACCTAATATATACAAACTTTGTGTTCAGTATTAAAAAAATTCTCCTGAAGGACTCATATTATATTTTATTCTTTTGTATTCTTTTTTCAAATAGCAATCAAATATCCCACAATATGCCCCTTTCTGTGTAAAATGTGTCCTGCTTCTTGCTACAAAAAGTTATCTGTATTTTTAGGGCTTATAGCTCCTAGTTTGTGTTTATTAGATAAAATTCATATTTGTTAAAAAAGATGTCTAACTCCTTGGAAAACCTCCCTTCAGGATTTGGCATGGCAGCTCCTTACAACTGGCACACTGTCTTGAAAAAGTGCTTGCTTGGCTCACATATTGAAGACGAAATTAGTCCACAGAGGGACTGTAATTGTTGTGATATTTAAAAAAAATATTTAATATATTTAAGTGGACTGGTTCTGGACGTGACATAAAGGGTTTTTAGCTGGCATTTAAGGACATGAATCTGAGTAAATCTTTATCAGTGCACACAGAGAGTCTGCAGCTAAGCATAAGAGACTAAATTCTATTATTGGTTAAGTGCGACAACATTTGAGTAACACAAATGATTTTGTAGCAGTTTGTGTTATATGTGTCAAATTAATAAGCTATCTGACAGATCCTGTAAAATGTTTTGACATGTCCCAATAGACTTTGGCCTGGCTTGTGATCAAGCTGTCTATTCTGCAGTGTTAAATGTGTGGGAAGGTGATGTCACTCCCAAACAGCTGTTTTAAATGATGACAACTGTGCAAGTCTTATAATGTATCTCCCTTTGCAAAAAAGGGCAACTATTTTCCAAAATGTATTTCATGTTTTAGACTTTGTGTTGTATTTCATTTGTTTCCAGGCCAGATAAGAACCAGGCAGAGGAAGGTCAGGCTGGACCAGGTGGCACTGGAACTGCGGATTGGAGGCCACAAGGCAGAAGTTTCTGTTTCTGCAGTGCCAATGTTTGTCTCCTCCCGGACTCCCTGGCCAGGTTCAACAACTTATCAGACACCCAGAGGAGAGCTCGCGAGGTGGGCAAGAGAATCCGCAATGGAGCAAGCCGGCCTCAGATTAAAATCTATATTGATTCGCCAACCAACACATCCATCAGGTGAGGGGACTCTTCTTCAAATGATTTGATTTGATTTCAATATAATTATAGGATCTAAATACAGAACCTGCAAAAACTTCATACTACAGAAGCAGATGGTTAAATGGAAGTATTTCATACTTATTTTATCTAAAACACTGTATGCCTTAATTTTCTCAGCTGCTGGTGAGAACTATGCCTTCCAAACATATATCTTTCTATTCTGTTATTTAGTGCTGCATCCTTCAGCAGTCTTGCCACAGGTTTCCGCCGCACTTCATCCCTGGACCAGCGTCCAGAACAAGTCCACACCACCAATGGCCCAGCAGAAAATGAAATCGAGACCATCACAGAGTGCCCTGTCCACACTTCAGTTGCCACCGATTGCCCCGTTCACCCATCTTCAGGAGACCAGAGTTTTATCAATTGTCCCGTTCACGAAGCTGGGTCAGATGCCACAACAGATTGCCCCCTCCACCATGCAGGGACCAACAACAATTCAGACTGTCCAATCCACCCCTCAGGTGATACCACTGACTGCCCGATGCATTCGACAGGTGGTCAGAATGACTCTGGCCATCGTGACTGCCCAATGCACGGGGAGGAAGCACAGAAAAAACCCTCCACAGAGTGTCCACTTCACACCTCAGCAGTTCAGATCAGCATCAGTGCCCCAGAACCAGACCCCCAGGAGGAGGAGGCTGAGACTGGAAATCATAGAGATTTGCCAGGAGGAGACACAGGGAGCATCACTGCCTCTCGGGAGTCTCTCACTCGTTACCATAGTGGCGACAATGCAGTAGGGATATCCTCCAACAACACTCTCTCTCATGTGCCACGCACGTCAATCTTCAAACGCCCTGGAAGGAAACGTCGACATGGAGATGAAATGTTTGACCATGAGATCTCTGCTTTCTTCCCTGCCAACTTGGATTTTCTGGCTCTACAGGAAGTGTTTGACCATGGAGCAACAACAAGACTCCGACATCAGTTACATCGCTATTTCCCCTATGTGCTGAGCGATGTCGGGCGTTATGGCTGGAAAGGCTGCTGCTCCAGGTTCAAATTCTTGAACAGTGGCCTAATGCTGGCCAGCCGCTACCCTATCCTGGATGCCCGATATGAATGTTACCCCAACGGTAGAGGAGAAGATGCATTGGCCGCCAAGGGGGCATTGTTTGCTAAGGTCAGTGTTGTCATTTTTTTTCTTGTCCCAGCTTTGCTTTACCTGTTACAGATTTTAAATATCTTTATTTTTAAAAGAATTGTAGTCTTTCTTTTTCTAAAAGACATGTGACCGTGGATAACAATGACACCCTAACATAACACGAAGAAGCAGTGTGTTTAAGGTAATACCTTTAAAGTTGTAGGGAAACAACTGTTCCAACCATTGTATTTCTAAATTCTCCAGAGTGGTGCCCAAGTTTACACAAGTGAATAAAGTGAATATGATCGGTTGTGATGGTGATGGTGGCAGAAGCTTAGTTTGCTGTAGAAGGCTTATAGCCGTACATGTTTGAGCCCTTGCCTCGCAACGCTGCCAGTTCTGTTAGGTCTACGCCTGCCGAAGACGTAGACGTCCATCCCCGTGAACACTGGGACGGAACTCAATGGTAAAGTAAATGATTCTTATTTCTTATTTCAACCGTTGCGCATATTAGCTGCGACATATGAATTAGGATGCTATGACTGAAAAAATTTGATTGACAGATGACTGTTGATATATGATTGGCTGAATTTAGGTGTACAAACTGACATATAACTAACTGGCCTGCATAAAATAATGGAAAAACCCCCTAAGATTTTAAGACAGGATTTTTTTTTTCAGATAGAAATTTTCTAAATTTTGGGACAATATAATCTGATAAAGAGTACATTTATATACATGTTTAAGCCAGAATGATTTGACAATTAAATATGACTTCCCTAAGAAATTAACTATAGTAACAGATGGGACTCTGTTACTAATTTGGCTCAGATGGTGGGATGTAATATGGGGCTCTACATCCCTGGCATCAACACAGCGGCTGTTTTGGCCAAGTGACCCATAATGATTTATATATTTTAAGTAATGAATTTAAAGAAAGTGATAAGCACATTTATTTTCGGTTTTCTCAGATTTAACTACATTTCTTTTTAACTTAACTCACCTGAAACAGGAAAAATGTTGTCAGATGAAATCTTTTTGGGTTGCAATAAGGGCTGTGTAATATTGCTTAAAAACACAATGGTATATCAGTCGATGTCGAAAATTGATTAGTGTTTCGTTTTGAAATAAGGACCCACTCACTCACCCACGGAAAAAATTTTTTTAAAAATACATTTAAAAGACGAAATGATTTGCGTCCAAACCACATCTACATTTGGTTGAAAAGTGAATGGCGAAAAGCCTTAATTTTCAAGAAGTGGAAAAGATGCTGAAAAAGACGTCTATAATCTCTTTTTCAACGTCTATTATTGGACTAAACTGGGACAAAAATCAAACACAGACAAATTTTCAACAATTATTTCTTACCAGATTTAGCCTAAAAACCAAGGTCTAAATGATGTCTGGTTTTTGGGAAAGCCTACTTTTAAAATGTAACCAGAACCCTATTTAAATGTAAAATTGAACTTGTTAAGTTTGGCTGTGAGAGGCTGAGAAGCTAAGTCCTTTGCTCTACCTACATTAACCAGAATGCCATGTGGTGCTGGACCGGACACATTTGCTACTGATATTGTTCAGGTTTCTTTTGTGTTATAAGCTGGTATGTTTTGTTATGGAATAGAAGAATAGAATAGAATTCAACTTTATTCTCATTACATTGTCACAAGTTCAAAGCAACATTCATTCTCTGCATTTAACCCATTCCCTTGAGGAGCAGTGTGGGGTTAAGGGTCTTGCCCAGAGTGGCAGTCTGTAGGAGTGGAGCTTGAACTCAGCACAAAATATTCCTTCATCTACAAGATGGAAACTAATTTCAGAATAAGTCTGAGCTAAAGGTCAAGAGAGAAAAAAACAGAACGGTAACTACATCTCTAGTTTTAAAGTGAGACCCATTTAAGAGGCTTTGGGACACCTTTGGATTTCTTTATGCCTTTCCTTGGTGTCATTTCAAGTCACATTTGGTCCTTTTACTTACTAAGTAGATTTACTGGTGAGCATTTCCTATTTTTTGCAGGTAGCCTTACCTTAATTTTTATTAAATGATTGTGTCGGTTCTTGTTCTGCTGCAGTAGAAATTTGTTCTGTATTCTGATTTCTCCATGTTGCTGTTTCAGTCATAGTTATCTTCTTGATGGTTGTGTCTTTATGTTTACATGTACTTATAATATTTGTTAAAGATTGTATAACTTAATCACTTCCTGCTGGCTGTTGTTGGGCTCCTCTTGTTGCACGGGACTCTTGTGTAATGGCACATTTCAAGATCCACTTTCTTCTTCTTTTTTATCTTCACCTTATTAATGATAATGTCCTGAGACTTATTCAATATGCAGTTTTTTATTGAAGCGTTTGGAAACAATTTAGTGCTTGAAAGCTTTCCCTCTTGAAGCATGTGTCACACATGTTGAAATTTACTTTTTTACGCCCACATTCATTCACACATTGAATTGAGTGAATCCTTGTTACTAATGTGCGCAGCTCCACTGTGTAAAAGCAGAAACAAACGTCATTATTTTCACAAGGTCTACAGCTTTCATGTTTGTCAATGAATTGGTACATTTCCTGCTTGTGTTTGTCTGCAGTATTCAGCATAGTAATAATGGGTTCAATGCTGAAAGGCCGAGGACCTATAACTTTTCAGTGGCACATTCTTTTGTCTTCCCCGCATCGTGCTTATATATACATTAATGTACTGAAATGAATGAGCAAATTATCATTATTGTCTGTTGTTTTATAATATTTGGAATAGTCTCAATATAATTTTTTTTTTATTTGAGAATATACTGAAAATATGATATACTAAAAAGCACATAATACATGTATAATGCATTGATATGAATATATAGAGGTGTGCTACTCTGTCTACTTGGAAGGAGTGATGACTGCAATCTGCTGGAGGGTGGCTTACTTCCTCCACCTGCTACTTTGATCTTGATTCCAGGTGTGTCTAAAGTGCAGCTCCTAAGGTCTTACATTCCCTCATTTCAGTTAAAGAGTGATTTTGGTCTCTCAATACTGCTAATGGAGTCATTAGTTCTAATCAGGTAAAAATTATTACAGAAAATACAGTAATTGTCTTTTAGTAACTACACTTTTTATAATTTTCTTGCACTTAGGGCACCAAAATCTGCTGTTATTAACTTATTAAACTCAAATAAATAGAGCAAGAAATGTTTTATCCATATCTTGGTCTTATTCCTGAAAATAGACAAAATGTTTGACTATTTCTATCAGTTTGGCTGAAAAGAATTAAGAGTAAACTGATGTCTATACTGTAATATACTTTAATAAGGCCAATACATATACATACATATGCAAATAATTTGCCTAAAGAGATTCTGACTGCCTTCTCTGATTAAAATGTCTCATGTTCATTTTTTGTGGAGCAGAGTAAAAAAAAAAGAAATCACCATAGACTTCCTGGTAGTTTTAGAATTCTTAAAAATTGATTGATCCTCAAATACTTTTGAGCAGACAGTTTTTGGCCCATGTGATTTAAGGTTTTGACACTAATATATATATAATTTTTTTGTATTTTGAAAACTACTTGAAATCAAATTAGAATTTATGGCTGAGTGTGAAAAAAAAGAATAAAATAAACTGCCATTAGACTATTTTAAAGGCTAGAAATATATTTTTTTTCTTCCATATGCAAAATTATTTATCCTCTATTTACTGCAGCAACCTCTGCGGTAACTGCTACCTCTCCATGTGTCTCACCTATTCTCTAGGTGTAATGTGCTGCGCATACTCCTCCATCTGGCTACTCTGCAATGGTTTTGGAAATGATCACAAACAGGCATTACTGCACCTCTGGCCTCGTCCAAGGTTTCTCACAAGAGTAAGAAAATAAACCTATCGATTATAAAAAGGGCCAAATTGGACTATGGCTAGTGAGAGAATACAACAGGAGTAAATATTGGGTCTGGTTTCAACAAATCTGTATTTGGACTAAATTGGGACTCAATGAAAAAGCTAGATAATTTTTTTTTTTTTTTTAACCTCAGATGACATTGTGCCTCTAAACAAAAGACCTGTGCAGTTGTAGGGCTGTACTGTGGTGCTTTTTCTCTTCTCCCATGAGCGTTCACAACAATGCTGTCATTTTAAATTCTCTCAGGAGGGAGCAAACATCTGCAAAAACTCTGGAACTTGCTCTATGGTCCGTTAATGCATCCATCCCGGGGATTCAAATACATATGGAGGGGGTTGCATGTTTACTCTGTCTGCTATTGTGATGGGAATGAGTTATAATATCATTTAGTTCATTACTGTTACAAATGTAATGCTTGCCATATGCCTAGCAGCCTGTGATGGATAGATATAAGGCCATTAAATATGATGGATTTAAGACATGGCTGCTAATGTACTGATGCAGGCTCTATACAGAGCGACAGGATAAATAAACTGGTGACCTTTGTTGCCTTTTTCCATTTCCATCTACCAGTTGTCTTTGTTACTTTGTATTATATCCAAACTCATAACTGTTGGATGAAAGCAGCGATGGAGAGTTGAAAGCTTTTCAGTGAACCAAATCACTGCAGAAGCAAAGGCAAGGGATGTACTGAATGTATGTCTTATGTAGCCTAATGACAGTGTGTTTGTTCATTAATCAGTCACAGGCTGTGATTATGGCAGAACAGGGATGATGGATCAGTTCCAGTCCCTGGTGGGCTGGGTCGGCAATATGTGACCGGACGCAGGTGGTGAATACCTGTATGAGCATGTCTTTGCATGCCCCGATGTAAGGAAGCCGTATTCCATCACAGCTTGCACGCTGACAGTCTCATCCTGTTTCCCTGCTGTCTGCTGACTGTCGAGGCAGCCCACAAGCTGCCTTCATGTTCATGTTTTACCAGCTCCCAATATGTGAGGTCACTTTGTTTCTTGTTGACAAATCGGCCATGTGCCAGCTGACAGGTAATTTCCTCATTTAAAAGTGCCAGGAAAGAAAGAAAAAAGCAGTGTTTAGCAAAATGGTTCTCACCCAATTTAGATATATTTCTGGGAACATCTGTTTAAAACAGCAGATGAAATAAGTG